GGCTAGCAAACCTATGAGATCGAGGAACACATCTGGGTTGTTACCTATTTTTTTTAACTTGTTTCACTGTGCTTCCAAACGGGTCCGGTACCTTTTTCCCGAATGTGGTGTCCTATCGATTGGCCGGGAGACGAGCAGAGTACGGTAATTGCAGTTTGAAACCGCGAGACAACTAAAAATATTTGCCGCATGCCGCAAAGCGAGCGTTGGAGATAGGGGAGAAGTTCCGCCGCCCGTTTCCAAGCTCTCCCCTTGCTTCCCATACTGCACGATCACTCCAGCAGGGAATCTTGTAGAAAATTGAGTATGTAACTTTATTACTGCAAAATCTTTCCAGCAGGGAATCTTGTAGAAAATTGAGTATGTAACTTTTTATTTATCAGTGAATAAAAAACAGAATCAGCATAACAAACAACCGTCGTAAACATATAATACAGTACATAAAACGATGGTTGGCAGCAATTGATCGCTAAATGGAATCAATGATAATGTGATCATAATGATAACAGAATTAGCAACATAGCTAACAAAATTCGAGCTAAATGGCCCTACACCTTACCGTGGGAGCAGTCTGGCGAGACAGTTCTCACAGTAACGGCGTACAAGCATTAGTACATACATGATTGCCCATATATTGGATAATTCGACTGATTACGATGGAATGATACAGCTTGAGCTACGATTTATACCCATATTGATATTCAAGAAATTGTCGTTCTTCATCGTTTGCCAACTGGTGGCCAATCTCCATCTCCTGAAGTATAACGAACCCTTCTATGGTATAGCAGGCGATAGTGACACTGCAAATTTCGAGTCTTGCTATGGCCCAAGTCTTCTATGGGGATCACCCACATAGAATTCGAAATATTGTAAAATAGCAGAATTGTTTCATTGTGTTCCACACCTATACAATGAACCACACCTATACAATGAACAAGAAGGCCCTGCGATGTGAGACCCAGGGAAGGAGACGGGTAATTAAACCGGTTTTGTGTAATCGATTCGCCGCACGCGGCAGTCGCGGACTAATTGTCGCGTAATTGCGATTCAAGCGCTCTTCATTCAGCTAGATCAGCTATGGGATTACTATTTTGGACATGACTCTACTATCACTTCTTTTGTTTCTGTGTTCCTTACTCGCTGCGCAAATTCTGCTTCACCCTGCTACATTCCTTCGTGTGCGACGTCGCTCTCGCTGCGAAGCGACCATTTTGATTCAACTGCACCACACCCTGACCCAGTGTTTTCGCAAAAAAATATCCCAAATATCCATGAATCCCCCCCCCCCTCAAAAAAAAACAGGCCCTTTGAGTATTTGCCAAAATAATTCAAGAAGTTGAAGGATTGATTTGCCCACGCAAGTATCGATCCCATGTGAGACTATCGGACCATACGTGGGTAGGGATGACGCTGGTACTACTCCTCCAATTCCTCCAAGGAAGCATAGTTCACACCCGTTCGCTTTGTATCACTTTTACTCTGTATGTGCTGCCCTACTATATAAATGTCTATGTCATGTGTTTCCACAACCTCTTGACCCCCAAGTATGCCTCTGCATGTGGGCTTACAGGTCCGTTCACTTGTTGCCAGTTTGGGTCTTTCCATAAACGGGAGAGAGCTTGCGCGATATATAGAGAGCGATGGGACAGTATGAACTCAAAATGGGAAACTTCGCCTTTCACTTGGTTTTGAAAACTGTTCAAGGCAATAAGCTCAGAAGTTTCATCCTTACCTTTCTCCTCACAGCATATTCATCTCCTCGCCGTTCTTCGCAACAACAGGTAATTAAAACTGTGATTAGCGCAATCGCAACAGCACATAGTACGGCTATGAACCAGGCGGCATTCCGGAGAGATTCTGAAAACATAAATCCGAGTTATGTGGTTTTCAGGTATTGCATATAAAAAGTCTCTACTGATTTCTGTGGATCCCACTAACGACGTTGGAAAAAAGGGCAAAAGTTAGCATATTCATCTCCTCGCCGTTCTTCGCAACAACAGGTAATTAAAACTGTGATTAGCGCAATCGCAACAGCACATAGTACGGCTATGAACCAGGCGGCATTCCGGAGAGATTCTGAAAACATAAATCCGAGTTATGTGGTTTTCAGGTATTGCATATAAAAAGTCTCTACTGTTTTCTGTGGATCCCACTAACGACGTTGGAAAAAAGGGCAAAAGTTCACCGAAAATAATGTCCTCGTCAAGGATTCCGAAGGATGTTCCGTGATTGATGCCAATGTTAAATTTCACTTCCAATAAAAAATCACATAGTTAAAGGTGTTGCGAAAAATTGGGATTTCTATCCTCCTGATAAGGCAGTTTCTCAGTTTTTTCTTGCCCGGAATGGAATTTTCCGGCTTACAGAACGTATTGCATATAATCTTCAAGCAATCATTCCTTTGAACAACTTTTACCAAAAAAAAAACTCGACTCAAACCTTCTGAGGGAACGACAACTATTCAGAATCACCCACGAAAGCCGGAAAGAACTGACCTTGACTGAGATGGGAAACACTCTCCTTGCTCAAAGTGGTAACAGATCGTGGTTCACTGTACGACATCCGATTTCCATCTTTGGCTACACCGATCAGGTTATACGTACTGCCTTCCCGGAGTCCAGTAATTGTCAGGTGAGTGTTTGGAAGGTAAATAGGCCCAGTCTCGAAGTGTTCCGCAGAATCTGTAGGTAGGAGAGCTTCAGCTCACTAATGAAAAGTCAACTTAGTAATAGATTCTTTAGGAGGTAATAGTATAAGTGATTTCAACTAAGACCTTCTAGGGAGTAGTTGACAAAGAAGGATGAGCCAGGCATTCTCCACACATTGTGATTTGACGGTTTCCATTCCACATCTATGGTATCTATTGTGATGTTTCTGACGAAGAATACCGGTGGATCAGGATCTAAAAAGTTACTTAAAGAGATCTTTGAAAGCAGTTAGAAGAGTTGAGTGGTTGCTACTGAACTAAATGAAATTGGCTCGTTTTGGTAGTTCCCAATCGAGGATCTACCCAAAACTGTCATTATACTCTACGTTTACCTTAGCGATTAGGGAAAACGTGTGCCATTACTATCACTTGTTGCGCGCATTTGTCTGTCAAAGCAGATAACGTGTGGACGTGTAGAGAGTTGCAGAAAGGCCAGCTGTACGAGGTTTCTTGTCCTCTTTGAGAGGGCCTCCACTGGCGGCGATTGGGTCCCAATAGGTACACTTATAGCCCATGAAAAGGAGTTTACTTTCACCACGGAAAAAAAAGGGAAGGGAAGAGAAAAAAAAAGAGATTCCGATGAATACTCTTGCTAACCCTCATTTCAGCCATCATCAACAAAGAAAGACCGGCAGTTGGAACGTTTTTGTGTAATCGATTCCCCGCATGCGGCAGTCGCGGACTAGTTGCCTCGTTATCGCAGTTCTAGCCTTTTTCATACGCCTCGGTCGATACGCAATTATTACTTTGGCAATACCATGGTTACTACTTTTGTTCCTATACTCCTTACTCACTGCGCTACTTCTTCATTCGGCTAGATTCCATCGCGCGCGACGTCGCTCTTGCCGCAGAGCGACCATTTCGATTCAACTGCACTATACCCACCGAAAAACCCTTTTTCAAAGGTATGGAATGCTAGATCTCGTTGTTAGCCATTCTGTAGAAAGAGCACCCTTCTCGACATTCGGTTACCGGCAATCGTGTGTGGGTCCTCCATTTCAAAAGCCCCTGGCTCACTTAGGCCACTTAGGGGGCCTCCCCATTGGGCCAGCAAAGGGAGCGAGCATTCCATTATTGAGGGTCTTGACATGGCCGCTTGTAGAACCCCAATACAAGGTATGTAGTAATGCAACGGGAGTAGCTTCTTGCAACTTACTCCTAGTGTTCCATGTTCTAACGGGTCGTGTCGTTTTCAATCCTTCCCCAGCACTCGTTTCTCCCCAAACAGAAACTCGGTAGGACGAATCAGGAACGCATTTTTCGTGTAGATAATGACGCTGCCGATACAAAACGTAGGTCTCTTCAGTTTCGTCTGAAAAATCTCACAACTCTTATTATTCCTGTGCAACAGATTAACTATACAAAAACGGATATCGATCATAGACGCGTAAAATCAATACCCACGCTTGAGTAACTGCATTAAACCGACAAAATATAAAAGCAACTTCAAGTATAAACTGATGAACAGTGAAGGCAAGCACTCACTTTTTTCATTCTCAAAGGACAGGAAATAGCCTCTGAGCAGGCCGTTCGGATGTTTCGGCGGTTCCCAAAGAGTAAGTATCGCGTGCGCTCCCACGGCCACCACGCGTAGATTGTGTACTTTTGAGGGTACTGAAAACATTGTAATTAGAAAATAAATAAATAACAGAGGTAAACAATAACTGNGGATGTTTCGGCGGTTCCCAAAGAGTAAGTATCGCGTGCGCACCTACGGCTACCACGCGTAGATTGTGTACTTTTGAGGGTACTGAAAACATTGTAATAAGAAAATAAATAAATAACAGAGGTAAACAATAACTGAACATGAACAGGATCCCAAACTGTAACTCACATCCTTCAGGAGTGGTCAGATGAATCGCCGGGCTGGGAGCGCTGCCGTAGCGACGATTCTTGGTCCGGATCACTGCGGTATAGTTGGAATTGGGGGCAAGAGTGGAAATCACCTGAACCATCATGTTTGAGAGTAGAAGAGGAAGGACGATGAATTCGAAAGGAAAAGTGAGGAATAACCTTTTCAGTTTCGTTCGGCGACAGCATGAGACGGTATTTTCGTGCAGGGAGCACATCACGCCAAAACTCTATCTGAAAAAATCACAACATCAAAAGTTTATTGAGAGCAGAGTCAGGAGATTTATCGGAATTTTAACCGAATAATGTCAAATCCCTCTGTTCTGATGAGCTCGAACCGTCAGTTCTCACAGGGATTGTTTACCATTAGGGCCACCTGTGGGAGGACCTCCACCAGATCTTCTGGGACCATTAGAACCCTTTCACTACAAGACTTATTAGTTGTCAATACACCATTCCCTAAAGTGGCCATGGTCTGTAATGTGAGCCAGCTGAGCCCTGTTCGTCTTAATATAGCTCAAGCTCTGATTCAAAGCGTCCTACGGTCCCGAGAGCATGACCACCGCATAACGCATCCTTAGAACCTTATTTAATGGCATCTTGACTAAGGGTTGCTTTGTTCTTTTTGAAACTGCAAAATAATCGTAAACAAACCTCATATCCACGAAAATAGCCGTTCACTGACGACTCCTCCACCGGTTCCCATTTGAAGCTGACCGTCGAGAAATTCACGAGTTTTTCGACTCGGAAGTTACTTGGCGGTACTGACGGTACTGCAAATTGGACATTTACAATCGTATGATCCATAGCGCTAAGTAAAATGGGATTTGAAAATCATCAGCAACAGTCTCGTTCTATGACAACAATGAAAATCAATATTTTTATAACTATAAGTTCATAGCCTTCTTGGATACCAAACCCCACAGCAGAGCGGAGAGATCCGGCGCTGTTTGAACTGTGTGCTTCTGATTTTCGTGGGGCGGGCAATTATATCAACAGGAAGAAACGCCCTTTTGGCCAAGGCTAATGGACCACGCCTTAGCACGGACAGACATTTACGTCGATACAGCGGTATCTGTTTCTGTTCAGGACCTCTTTTATTTCATGTTTACAACAACAAATGTAGTGACCCACAATCCTTCATAGGCCGTGCCAAGTTGAATTTCGCAATATTGTACCCGCAGATGTGATCCTAGAAGAACTACAATAGACCTATTCCTTCCAAGCCCTGCCCATTTAAAAACCACGCCTTAAGGCAGAAATTGGTTCGTAGCTCCCATTTTAACGGTCCCATATGCAAAAATCACGATAATTTTCTTGTAGCTATATCCTTTTTCACTCTTAAACTGTAGAACAACTTTGTTTGACGAGCGACTACGCTGAAAACAATTCAAAAAATGGGCTCTGGAAAACTCGTCCGCGTGTCGGCATCCTTCAAACCAGTTAGAACTTTTGCATTAAATTTTGTACTATTCCACTGCCATCAAATAAACACAAACCATCTTCTCCAGAGAACCCTCTCACAGTGTCCGGCTCCAGAATACTGGGTCCAATAGCGTTTACAGCTCGTACTTGAACTTGGAATGGACGGAATGTTGGCTGTTCNCGGATTATGGTGTGATTCTAAAAAGGTACTGTGAGTTCAATGATAGAAATCGTTCAAATTCCAAACCGTTTTCATCCCCATTTTCGAGTTCTGATATCTCCCATTCGGAATTGTTCTGATCTTCTTCTACAGTAACCCTCAAACAGCTCAAATAGGTCATCTCCGGTAATAGACCAGTTTTCCATAAAGATAGATTCCTGTAGAGGGCAATAGTAGACCGAGCTGGCAGTGAAGTCATCCTAAGGCTTTACTACCAGCCTGGTTAACCAGCTGTTAAGGCTAAGTAGTGATGAAGAAAGCGTATCCGCCAAAACGTGAACCCCACACACGCCACACCCAAACAGGCGGTATCGACAAAAGTTTTTCGAAGAAAAAGTAGGAAGGATCTGTGTACGGGAGTGTGGAGCACATCCTTCGATGGGCAAAAAAGACGCTGCGGATCTGGCCCTCACCCACTGCGCTCGAATTAAAATTGCAAGTTCAGCCTTTCAATGCCACAAAGTTGAGGGTAGGCGACAGTTTTCGGCTTTCAGAATCTCCCTTTGTGGGCGGGCCTAGGCTCACCGGTAGAGTTCAGTATGTGGAGTGTGGACTCGGCCGTTGAGCCAAGCCCCTGATTTGCGTCTAGTCAAGATCAGTACCGTATCTGTTATTGTTTGTACTAGTGAACATCACTGAGTGAGAAAGGACAGACAACAAGAGATTGCTTCAGGGAAAATAACAGATCGATGAGTGGGTGTCGAGCACCCTCCCATGGAGGGTTCTTACCACCTGGTAAATAGTAGGACGCCGACCGACATAGGGATTCGTGAAGTGGGGTTAGCCGCCATTGTGTGCACCAGTGCTTAGATAGAGCAGTGGGTACGTGCTCGGCCTTCGGTCTACAGGGTCACGGTTTCGGCTTCTTGACAGCGAAGCTGTTTTGCCTTTGGTTTTGGAGACTTCTGAGTCACTTCTTCAGATGTACAAAACTCCAGAACTCCAAAACTCTAGCAGTTTTGGTCATTTACGAATTAAATCTGATTGATAAGTGCGCGAATATTCGCTCAGCACACCTTCCTTGAATAGTCCAGCTCCCAAGTTGGAGCTCCTGAATCGGAACATCGTCCCATCTATTAGTTGCATTTCTCTGACCCCTTCTTTGTAAATTGGTGCTACACAATCAAGACCTAAGGGGACGTATCCAGCCGCAAACTTCACATGTAGCCTTAGGGGAGCCTTTAGAACTCCCTTTGGACTACAAAGGATGCACGACTTTCCCTCCCACTCTTCCTGCAGTTCCCGAATACGCCATTGTTATGAAAAGATTCAGAAGAGTGCACTTCCCATCAACCTGCTCACATAAAGGGCATGAGTAGGCATTGTCACCACCCACCACTTCCTCCTCCCTTGGCCTCTAATGAAGATGCTGTTAATTCAACTTGGAAACACTGTGCCCCCGAACTTACCACCCTTCCTTCGCATCCCATTTCCACCTCTCATCGTCCTCTCTGAGAGCAATACTGTCCCTTCCTTGTTAGAGGCTCGTCGATGGCATAGCTCTGGTTGTGGCTGCCCAATCGGGCATTGTTCGGGAATCTACCGACCTGGGTAACTCGGTCCATCGTCGAGGCGCTGAACATTTGTAAGATCAGTTGGCCCCTGACGAGGCACTGCAGTTTTATTCAAGTGCGGGAGGGAGTAGAAAATCGATTTCTTCGGTTCATTCCGTTAGCTTTCAGAATTGTATCAGAGAAATCTTGGGCTCTGGAGAGTTTGTAAACATTTTCTGAGCATTTGCTCATTTTTTTCTGTTGTGCCTAGGCGCTTCAGTTTCTATTTTGTTTATGTTTAGCAACAATTGGTTTTGATGATCTGCTCGAACAACAATTGGGAACAACCTGGTCTCCGTCACCGATCACCTAACGACGACTTACTCAACAGGTAGGTTCTCACACTGGTATCAAGAAGATTCCGTGACAGAGGAAGGATTGCATCTTCAGGAAACTTTGTTTACTAGTCACCGTTGTTTACTGTTTGTTCACTTTGTTTACTGGGAAAACGAGTAAATCAGAACATTAAACAGGGTATCGATTTGGGCTTTCAATGAGTTTTTAGAAAATCAATAATAAAAATCAATAGTGGAAAATTGGCTTACAGCAAGTGGATCTTCAACGACAAATTCTGTCCAAGCAGTATGTGGTTCATCCAATTTGTACCTAAAATGGCAAACACCTCGAAAAATTAACAGAATAAGCAATAATATTGAATTATTATAAAAATAAAATAGATGACTAGAAATTTCTATGAAAATATTGAAGTACAGTAGCTTCTCGCTTTTTAGAAAAATCGAGAATTTTTGAAGGAATAGGACATTAAAAAATCTAAAAACTTCAAAAATTGAGAGGTTTTGAGCGCAAGGAATTTGTTGTGCGATACCTTCACTCCCCCCGATTTGCCCTCGATCAATTGATTATTTTTTAATTTATTTTACGAAAAATCGCCATTTCAGAATATCTTCAAGTACCAGCTCGCAGTGCGCCTGTCCGTTTGGTTTTGAACGGTATTGGGCATACGGGGAATATTTATTACTTCGGGCTGTAGGAGGTGAAGTGGGGCCATTCGATGAAGACGAGAGCTGAGGTGGGATAGAGTAGTAAAATGGTCCATGGGCGGGGAGAGGTCCGAAGGATTTGCTTCGAACAGGGAGGAATTGATGCGGTTTGGCCCTTGCCTTCCCTACAGCATCACGGAGGTGGGAGCTTACGTGCACTGCAGGCTCAGTTCGTCGCGCCAGGACCCCTTTATGAATGTACCCACGAGATGGAAGGTCCTGACGCGAAAAGCCGTGAATTTCTGTTTAACGCGGAGGAAAGACTCGCGATGACAATATGACAAGGGAAATGTGAGCAAATATTGAAGATATTGTAGTTGAATCCCCGGAGGGAATGTGAAAACGTGAATAAGAGCTCCTGCAGTCCCTGGTAATTCAGAACTCCTTACCTGACGAGGTACTGCAGGTGAGGTGCATTCCAATAATACTTTTCCATAGGCTTCCAATAGACGACCAAATTGTCTGGCTCCGTTCCTTCGACCCGAACACCTTTTGGGTTCGAGTATGGGAACGAAGGCCGGGTATGGCAGGAGATATTCTGCACCTTATCTAAATCAATCACTTTTGCATAAAGAACAAATTTTCTATCTGCATTTCCCTTGGTAATAGCTGTGGGTGTGAACTAGTAAGAGGATTCTCCTCCACTGCCTCGACAAAATCCATTACTAGTTCGTGTTCAAAGTTCAAACTCAACAGACCTTCTTCGAGTCCAACGTTCTGATCTGAACGGCCGTGGGAATTCTCAGCGACCACACGGAATGTGTAATTCACCTGAATAGTGCCACTTTAATCACACTAGTAGACCGGTTCGAAGCGTCACGAAAGAACCAACTGACCCATGGCGTCAGAGTAACATCAGCTTCAAAGTTTTCCCTGGCTACGTTGATCTCGTCCACAACACGCTCCCATACACCCTGAATACTGCAGATTCAGGTAGGCCTTTGGAAAGGGGGAGATGGGCTCACCTTCCGGAAATCGGTCTCCATTTCGACGGTGTATTTTTTAATGTCGTCTCCGTGGTCTTCTGCAGCTTTCCATTTGATTACCGCTTTTCGTTCTGTACAGACTGGTGGCTCCATTAGCGGTGTTGCAGGGACGTCTGAATAGTGGATGGCTATGAACATGGCATAGGAAAGAAGCCTGTGATTCCCATATATTTCATTACAACTCGTTCAACGCCTCCCGATGGTGTCTTGCTTCAAAACTGGGTTTGAAAAATAGCTGTAGGCTGCTGTTCAAATGAATGACTCGACTTATTCCCCAGGGTTATTGAAAAGAGCAGAGTTCCCGAGCATAGGATAAGATTCCCATTGAAATTAGTGCTTGTGACTGTGTAAGTTTCCTTATGAATGTACCATTCATACAACTTCCTACTGCATGAAGTCTAGGTAGCGTTAGGAAGAAAGAGCACATTCCGAGTGCAAGTTACGACCGAGGCTGGAGTTCTGTTCATATGCCCTTTTGATTGGACTTTGGACCACCTCACTTGTAAAGTCCTCACCTTTGACGATGAGCCGCATTGACGCCAATTTGACATCGACTTCGGTGATAGCAGCACAATCAATCACTCCAGAATGTGGGCCTCGGAGTGTGTTGAGAAGGAGACGATCAGGTAGGACCCTAGAAGAATTTCAGTGGGTAAGCAGCAAAGCAGTTTGTCAGGAGGAGACAGAAGGAGTGAAATGAGATGTGATGACGAGCACATCATATTACCTTACCTGGCACTCTTTGCTACCTAGAGTTAGCTCAACTACCCCTCTTTCTGCCCATTGAACCAAAACCCCAAACAGGTTTCTCGCGCTGCTCTGTTTCACCCTTTTCTAATTTTCTCACCACACAAGGAGTATTTTTAAATGTAAATAAGTATTAAATTCTCACTGATAAACGGTGCTGTTTTCGATGATCTCCCCGTTGACAGTCCATTTGTAAGTGATCTGAAGACGTGGATCAGCTATTGCTTCACAGTGTAACTCGGCCGAATCGAATGCTTCCAACACCAATTTCGGAGGCGACGGCACTTTCACAAAGTACGTCGGCTCTGAATTCCCGTTAAATTCCGTAACCGTCTTACGGTACCGTTTTGAAAGTGACTTACTGTAAACTTGAAGCCTATTGGTAGCTCGAGCAATACCGTATTTATTCGAGACATTACAGTAATACAGACCCTCATCTGCGCTACTCAAATCATGAATGATGAACGTATTGTTTGCCAGGAGCTGAAAACAATCGACTCAAGAGACTGGCATATCCGAAAAAGGGAGAGGACAGACCTGTGTTTTTCCTTCGATCACTTTCAGCGGGCTATCATCCGCATCAACCCATCGGACGACAGGATCTGGAGCTGCCACAACGTCACAGTTGAGCGATACCGAAGTTTTCTGGACGACTTTCCATACTCGTTGTGTTGGCATGAGGAATCGAGGTGCATGTGCTGAAAGAGAGACATTACCCAGGAGTACGATAGAACAAAGCGGATTCTCCATCACCTAGATATAGGGTCATTCCGGGGTTTACCCAGGAGCTGAATAGGACTAACTCCTAATCGGCTGTTGAATGATTATCCTGACAGAAGAAGTAGAGGTAAGGACATGGCAAACGTCGCCTCTACCACACCGTTAAAGAATGGGATCAAATTCCGGATTCCTCTGCGCTTACCGAAATTCCATACATACGAGGTCGGTTCATTTCCTTTAAATTTTTGCCGTAGGGGGACGCTTCACTCGTAACGATAACGGGTTGCTTTCGTATTTGCGCACTTTCTATTCAACGCACCTTTAATGCTCTACAACTGTGATGAAAAGTCGGATACATGGCGCAATCCCATTCTGTTTTGTTCGAATAAAAGCACTGTTGGTTTCTTATATTGACTTACCTTTCACATTGACGAATGCATTGGCATAGACGTAGCCGAGTGGATTGGAGGCGTTACATTGGTAGACACCGGTATCGAGATCGTGATTCAACGACGACAGCCTCAGGACTCTCCCATTGTCGAGCAGAACCCTACGCTGATCTCCAGTTTGCTCTAAAATAAGGGGCTATGAAAAAGGAAACAAAAAGATAGTAAGCCGATGTGGGTCCCACACCGAAGTGTAAGCAAACGTACCATGTAATGGTTTCCCATTCATACTCCATTTGACTATGGGAGGTGGCTGTCCTGATGCAAGACATTCGAGTTCTGTAGTACTTTCCTCCGGTTGTTCAATGTCCTTTGGTGGATCGAAATCCCAATAGGGAGCCGCTGTAATAGCACTTTTTTTGAGAATATTTCAAGAATATTTTCAGGGTATGCTTTTTCAGAACATTTAACTTCCACATTTGAACTTACCTACAACCCGGACGTTGACAGAATGGGCGATGTTGGCTGAACGACATTCATAATGACCTGCATCTTCAGGATGCACATTCTCTATGATCAATGCTTTTCCAAACTCGCTCTCAGGCGACGTCAGATCTTTCAATCGAGCTTTTGGCAGATAGCCATCGATTTTTGACCAGAAGATCTCTGGTAAAGGGCTGAAAAGGCATATATGTAAACAATTTTACTCTGTAATTTCAGAGATGCTTTTAAGGTTGCTGTTATGAACTGTTAGGGAGAGGCATGGGAACAGGTAGGACAACTACGGACTACTCCTGCAAAAGAACTCTCAGTTGAACTTGTTGATTAGATAAAGTTGTACAAAAGTCCCATCGTAGCGGTAGGTGGTGCTCCCTGACGAGTGGATTCCAAAGAAGCTCACATGACGAGAAATGTTGGAGAGCGACAGGGTGTCCGTCGACAGTTTCCCGGGGATTCCAAGACTTCCCCAAGATGGGAAAAGGGCCCATTTTACCTGTTATTCGGCCCTGCCGAAGGTTGGATTAAATTGTAATAGTAATAATAATAATATAATAATTGAAAGGTTTTGCTACACGTGAATTGAAAAACCTACTTTCCACCAAAAATGCATAGCAACCGAAGTTTACCACCGGCTTTGACGGTTACCTCTTTCGGGCTAGTATACAGTTTGTGCACGGGTGTTGTTGGATCGCCTGAAAGGGATATCGTGACGTTTTTTGATCCAACTGAATCATATTTTGTTTATTGCACTTATATGAACCCTCAAATTCGATTCAAACTCTTTAAAACCCGCAGCTACTAAAGGCCTGCTCACTTTAGTTGTTAATTGAATCATGGAACTCCTAAAAGTCTTTTGGCTGAATCAGTTCCGTACGTGGGATGTGCCTCACATTCGACTTACACTCAGAATTGTAGGGCGTATTAAATGAGTAGCCTAGCCTATACAACGATTGAACTGTCGGTGTGCAAATCGGGGCCAGATTAGTCTAATTCGGCGCCAAGGTGGATATCAATATTCGTGACCATGTATATGTGATAGTGCACCACTGCCGTTACACAACCTCCGCCCTAAGTCTGATATAGATTAACCGAATCTGGAGGAAAGGAATGCTCGGTTCGCTCAAGCGGATATCTATATGGATATCTATCCGAAGTTTGAACACCTGGCCATGCGTGTATGATAGGGCACCACTACACCGTTTCCGCCAATTAATTAACTTAAAAGAGTAAAAAAATTGATTATTCCACGCTACTCATCACGCTTTCCCCTCTACGAGTTTTTTAATGATCGTTTCCAGTCGCCGTGGCGACTCTCTTGGATCAGTACGAAAGCTTCAGACACCAAATCGAAGTGCTAGAAGATCCCACTAAGTTCAGAAAGTTCGATTGTTCCTTTCCTCGTTGAAAGTTTGAAGGCTGAATGTTCCGAATTTCAAGAAAAGAATCTCCTTACCCCAATCTGTGAAGAAAGCTTATTCCTCATAATGGCCATAGCTGACCCATCAACTTAATATCAACCTTATGGGCAGCTACCATAATCTGTACCAGTCGTACTACGAAAGTGAGTAAATGGAGTGGAGGGAAGTATAGAAAACAGTTAATGAAGTAGCGAAGATGCAAAAAACATCCGGTTCTTCCACCAAACTTCATTTCCGTTGCCTTCTGCGTACGTTAATTTACGCCTCAGGAAGCCTCAGGAACCTGGGCATTAAGCAAACATGATGAACAGATGGTCAGCACCAGCCAAAGCAATTTCTCGCGTGGAATCTCCTGAGACACGCAAGTGGCGCTGGAAAACGGGAATAACACCCAAACAGGAAAATGGTCCAGTCCGCCAAAGCATCATGGGCAGCTTAGCAAAACTTTCAGGTTAATGCAGTTACCCATTGGATCTACTGGTAACCTTTTGAATCTTTGAAGAGCAAACAGCTGGCGTCCAGTTTTAGGTAGGGTTTCTTTAAGGTTTCCAAGACCTATCGCCTTCCGTTCATTCCAAAAGTGCTCAGTCAAGGAAAAAAAGAGAAAAACACTCAGATCTTGATGGGAACCCGCACCTGCAAAACACTCTTTTCCACCTGGAAACTGGAAACCTTCGCTCAACTCGAACTTCATGCCTACCCATATACTGCGAGCTCTCACACCTTCCCAACCCCACAAACCTCTTCAACACTCCGAATTCCCGATGTAAAGAAGCAAAAGTAAATAAATGAACTGGCTCAATTATATGATCATACCGTATCGGAATAGCCCCTTATCGAACCCGAAACGCTACTGAAATCGCTGACGGGAATGATTTATTGTCTACCACTTCATCATGGTCAGAAACGGGAGTAAACCACTTCGAATGAGTTTTTTTNTTTTTTTCTCAGATTTTCGGTTGGTTATTAGGAAAAATTGTTGAGTCCCGGACCGAGCAGCTACCACATTGCATATTTGCACTGCATGAGTTGAATGGCCACCAGTAAGAGGCCATATTTTATCGGAGTCGTTTCGAGAGTCGTTCTAAACGCACCAAATGGCTTGCTGATTGATTAAGCAAAAAACCACATAAAACCTCGGCAGCAGCAGCAGAACAGAGCTCTTTCCTAGATGAATCAGCAGGGAATTTGGTTTGTTCAATGACCAACAAGTCCACTTTCTGAAGAGTTATTTTCGAAGAGACTTTTTCTGAGTTTCTATCCGGAAGACGGGCCCTAACAGTTCATCAAGCATGAGCCGCGAACGTGACTCTTGTTTAACACCGCAACTTCATTTGAATGGCGCTTAACACATCCAATGGGAAGCTCAGACAAGATAGGCAATGCCCTAACTTACCTAACTTAGCAGAAGTCAATTAATTTGGGAGAAAAAGACGCTCTAGCCGAGAAGCTTGGTGGTATGACGAGGTGTTCAATGTCATCAGAGAAATTTCCTGACTTTTGCATCCATGGCAAGTCCTGAGATAGGCAGTGGCTTCCTCCTGAGCACTCCAGAAGGTGAATGAGTAGGAGTGTGGAGATTCTACCTTCATGGTGTCAAAACACCGTGAAAAAATTCTTTAATCAAAAATATTAGTCGGATCGGGAACGTAAACAACCTATGATACAGAGAGTTGTTGCTGGACCGGGATTGATAAAACACACGGTGGTATACTGTGGGCGGCATACGATTGTTTTAGATTAGGCATTCAGGGAAATTCCTGGTCTGATTCCTATTCCTGACCTACCTAAATCGGCCATCAGTGAGGGTTCTCTCAAAATACTCGCTGAATTACGTGTGGAATTTCCATTCCTGAACCAGACCCGAACCGCTAAGTGTGCTCCCTGTGTACCGAGCTCTTATTACTGCACTACCGAGACCTTGCCTCGAAAAAATTCTAAATAAAGGGTAAACACAGAGAAGGCAAAAACAGGATGTAAACATCATAACTACAGCTACATGGGCGATCACATTTCTATCTCCTATATTGACATATCATTCTCTACCCCTTACATCCCTCAACATCGTCTGTCTTCGCTGTATTCCATTGTCTTTCTTTTTTCTTGGTCCCAAAGCCTAAATTTGATGTTCAGTCTATGGCAAATTCCTGATGCCACCATCATTTAGGCCATTCAGGCGGTGATTAAGTTTTTCGCAGAAACCAAACGTTCGCCATTGCTTTAATTGGACATCGGAAAGTTAATTGCGTTTTTTGAACTTGGCTCTGGTCTCCTGTGGGTAGCATTACCATTGCGAATCAACAAATCCGGCCAAAGATCACCGTTCATCTGCGAATAGTATTACTGGTTATCTGGAAAAGTTTCTGGCTGGTGACTGCAAATTTTCTTCCTATTATGAGCTCAATTCAAGCCTCTTGTCACCTTGGAATGTCTACTTTAGAACATAACATAACCAGTTAATCTCAATAAAATGTACTTGGGATTTGTACTTGCCCATAAATGTCCCACCTGCATCGATTACAACTACAAATACTACAAGCGCCTGCTAAATCGCAAGCAATCTCCCCTATAGCCGGAGCCGAATGAAGAATTTTGTTTGTAAACAAAATGAGTGCTTTTCAAGTACCAAACAAACACCGTAATCGGATAGCCCTTAACGGGGTTTTGAAAAACACCGATCTAAGATTACCTAAGGACCTATATGGCAGTCAGAACATCAACGATTTTAGTGTTCCAATAAATGGAATTAATGGGCCCGGCCACGTGCTGCCGACCTTTATATCAGCTGCCGTTAGACCCGTTTATAGTTCCTACGGTTGCACGCGATTTTGTAATCGCCTATTGACTGGTTAGAGAAGTAGGTAGGTTAATGATCGTATGGGACCTCCAATCATCAAATCACTGTTGACTGAGCTCTATAGAGAGCTTAAAATACTAGGTCGAACCTGGGTAAGATCTTAACGCGAGGCCTGATTCATAACGTTATTCACCAGGACGTTCTACAACCCTGAAGCTGTTCTGGCCTATGGTGAATCCAGTAAACTACCCAAGTCGTACAGGAAATAGTCGAAAAGAACTCCTTAATAAGGAACAGAACGAACCTTCTCTAGGAATGACCTCTAGCTGAACATGGTCACCGGATCGGTATTCACCATGCAGGACCGGAGAGCCGGCAGCACACTCATAGACGAGATTCTGCAAGGATCCCTTTACTACATGATCAGTAAGTAACCAAGTAAACAAGTAAACAATGAAATTTTTGAATATCTAACCGGTCGTCCATCGTGCATCTCCACGGCGCTGAATTGCAGCTTACCGTCCCCGTCGACAGTGATGTGCTTCCTTCGGATCGTCTCAATCACTGATCCCTGCTCGGTGTCCCTGAAAAAGCTCCCAGTTCTGGTCATTATTCATCACAAAGAAATAAATATCCCATGAGTCAGCTTGGAATTTGAATATTTCGTCGCTGATGTGGGATATTGATGTGGGAGCTGATCGAATTAGCAAGGGTAATGCATATCGGGACTCAATTACCCACTTTGACAATGAGACGGGTGGGAATGCTGGCATCAACAACAAAGGTCTAATCTATGTATACCAGGAGAATTTCGAGTTCAAAATGTTACCTGTAGAGCCAGAACAAGGTCGGTGGTGGTGTGCCTCTGGGGGCTTTGCAGTCGATCGTCAGCGATTCGCCTTCCATCACTTGAATCCTCCTCACAGGTCGTGGAGGGAAATGTTCCAGCTCTGAATGACAAATTTTGATCTTCCGATTTCCTCCCACTCCTTCCAACGGGAGGGGAATGGTGTGTTCGGTAGCATTCAGCCTTGTCAGAGTGCGCCAGGCATTCGATTTCCTTCTAAAAGGTCCAGGTGCCATAGTATGTTCTGTCTATGCCCCTACCTGACCAGAGAGTTCCGCTGTAGCAACCTCCCCTACCTCCCCATCTCTCGCCTACCACTTTTCCGCTCCCATAGCCAAGGCAGCCATAAATCTTCCTCTACGAAGGGAAGCAGGGCTCGGCTTTGTACTTTCCTTACTTACTTTGCAAGTGCTAAGTGGTGCCCAATGCATTTGCACCTTCCAAGTTTTTCACCCCATTCTGCCCTCAGTAATAGTAGTTACCCCGAATGTACTCCATAAGTAGATCCCAGTAGCCTTGATATAGTTGTCATCGAAACTCTGGGAATGCATTTTAGCGCAGCAAGTGTGCATATTCCCACGGGACTCACCCATCGTCACACAAGCAGCGCCCCGAAGGATCTCCTCATCTAATCAGAGTGTTTTTCCTGTTTTCCTGTCCTCACCCCCCTTCATCGAACTCTCCCTGCCCTCATTACGAAATCTGTAGCCGACCGACCTGCTGGCGCGACATCCTCCGCTGGGGTAACTCAGAACTCTTATGAGCCGATGAAAAACTTAAGAGGATCGGCTATCGGCTCATTGAAATTGCCGACAGTTATTGATGTGCGAACGGGGAGAAGTCAGCCTTTTTCCTCGAACATCTGGTGGTACCGGCCGTTCACCTTACCCCCTCAATAAAATTACGTCATCAGGCCACGGTCACTGCGTACATATTTCAGATCATCTGGGGATCCGAGTAATTAGGGACCAGGAAATCGGTGGGTGGTCCTAACTGCTACCTGGGTGACTTCCACCTGTGAGGTACGCCTCATGAATATGCAATACATGACAGACTATTTGTGGCTGGGCGCTTGTTTAGGTTTCTAAAAAGAAATTCTCTCACCCGGTCACGAACCTAATGATCCATCTATTCGGGAGAATAGGTATTTTTCCCCTACGCTGCCCTACCAAGGATGATAGAACTCCGAGAATGGGCATACTCATTTTCTAGCAAAGCTGAATGGAAGCCTGCATTAGCGTTAGTGGCAAGAACCATTATGGTTAACTGAAATCTTCTTTTTCTGGGCCTCAGTCTCAATTTCGAGCTGGAGCCTAATGAAATGGACCTGAGACATCTCCAAGTAGGAGCCATCACGGACCCAGGGCTGCTCAGATAAGATGAATATGAAAAAATGACTTAAAGAGAGGGCAAGATTAGACAGTAACCTCTTTCTATCCCCGTTTGATTACCCACTCCTGGATGGGCCGTTCTCCAAGTCACGGTAACGCGATCCCCGAGTTTAATCGTGCCAGCCCCTTGGAACCATATCGGATCGCCCTTAAGCAGCAACCAAGGATGCGTCCAATTTTCTCGCTCGGCGAGGGCGTCGAAAAGTCAATTCGGTCGCGAGGCCAAGATTTCGCCGAAAGGAAATGTGCTGTGTTCGAATGTAATTAAATAAAGGTCTGGGGCGTCGAGAATTGAGGGGGCATTACGCTCCCGTCATTTTACTGCGCCTTTAGGTGCCACCCATAAACAGATTTCATTGCGCATTGAACAAACTCCCGACGCATTATGGGAAATAGTCCTCCCTTGAAGAAAGGATTTACAGATCGGGTGGCATTTTGAAAAAGTGAAAGAAGACGATGTGTTCGGGGATAGATAGCGCAGTAGTTAGAGGCGTCAGAGACTACAGATACCACTTCTGAAGATCGGATCTCATCTGGGCCATTGATATCTACATTGTCTTCAAAGTATTCTGACTGCTAACGACATTCTTTGGAAGTAGTGGAGCTTTACCTTCGACGATGGAAGAATTACTTTATCTACACCTCATTATCACTTCATACTGTAGAACATCACCTATTATCAACCATTATCAACCACTATCACTCTTACTAGAATATGAAATGGGTAACAAAGAATGTACCGATCGCTACTACTGGCTGGCATATTGCAGAATAGCTGCCGCTTTTCAACCAAATGGCTCTTCCGTCCCTTCTAAAACTCCATAACCCGATAGGCTGCAGTTCGTTCTCGTTAAGGTCATGGAGCTAAGCGGTCTGCCCTTTACTCGTCATCCTTTTCCGTATAATTCCAAAGGTAAATAAGACCCCTGCCGATACTACCTTTCAAACTTACAATCAAAGCTGTTAAGAGGGCTTTAGAAACTCACCCTGGGAGTTGATGACTACGGGGTGGATCGGCTTTATTTAATTGTGAGGTATCCACAGCCAAGACTTTCACTGATCATAGGCTTGCCTCCTCAATAGGGCTTCAGCTGGTCGGGGAAACAGTCCTTCAGGGAAGAAGATAGCGTAAATGTGAGGTGAGATCCAGGGAAAAAAGCTAGGGTGAGAAAGGCAAAGGGAGGTGAAGTACGGGTAAGGGTAACGAAAAATAGCACCATAACTGAAACAATGTTTCCATGCCAAAGGTCTATTCAAGTTGGCTATCGATCAAAAAATGCTACTTGGGCTATGGGTACGACTTCCTTCAGGCTCAATTCCAATGGGAGCTTGATTTCACTCCCAGAATAGCCTAGGCAAGGTCCCATTTTATGGTGACTTGGCTACTCGTCTCAATACAGCAGCTTTCAGCCTAATATCCATCCTTTGATGGAATTCGAATATTACTGGACACCGCCCTAAAGGCTCACAAGGCAAGCTACAAACGGTTCCAACTACACGAGCAGCTTCTGCCAGAATTTAAATGCATGGCGCACTCCCGAGGCGTAAAATACCGATGATCAGTTATCATATTACAATATGAATTCAGTGAAAAAATGAAAAAAGTCGAACCTCCTAGCCGTAGATGGACCTTATTTGAGACGGCTGTACCAAAAATATTCGAAACAAAACATTGATAGTAGCCTTCGTGATGTCGCTTTGGCTTCATAAATTGGATGGTCCCAGATTGGCCAGCTCGAACCCATTCGATATCGCCACCAATCTCCAGCTGTTCACCGTTTTTATACCAAACAAATCTGAACCAGAAGCATGCGAAATTTAATTGGCGAACACCACTTGATAAAAAATCGAAGACTACGGTACAACTCACGATTCTGCATTGTCAGACGCTTGACATTTCAATGTAGGCCGAGCATGTGGACTGAGATTCTCTTCAAGCTGATACCATACCTCTTCTGGAGGTTGTACTAGCAACTTTGGTGGTCCTATAAAGCGCTAATGACTTCTTTACCCAGTAAAACGAGTAGATCCAGGTGACTAACCCAGAGTGGCGAAGGCATGCGTGAAATCCTTCGCTGTGCAGGCCAACAGCAGAATCGTCAGCATCTCATCTGGGATCTGAAAAGATCCCATTCTAACCGCTGATTGATTGACGGGTGCTCAGAGAATTATGAGCGGTCACGTTACTATCGAAAAATCGAAAAAATTATGAGAAAAATAACTGATACAGGCTGTTGGGTTTGGATCGGCTTGACAACCCTCTTACTGCATCGTATTCCCATCTGGGTGATCCAAAGATACGTACGATAGCGGAAAAGTAGAAGAATACTCGGGGCAGGAGAGGGAGGGGAGAAGCTGTCAGGGCGTTTTTTCATTTGCAGGATCATCAATCCCGGACTTTTTTACAAAGTTACATTACCAGATAGTAGCATTACAAGTCTAAAATCTCTGGAACAATCAAAATTGTTCTTTGATTTTCCAAGTAGCCTCCGATTTCTAGAAGGCAAGGTGCTAGCTGAGCTCCTGAAGGCTATCTTGGTGCATTACCATTCCTTACGAAAGGCTGGGGTGCTTCAGGGCTGTACACATGACTGCTCTTTGATGAAAATCCAACCAGAAAAACAAGATTACAAAACTGTCTCGTTCGTGAAGACCTTTTTCCGATTCTCATTCGACAGAGAGGGTCAACCCACCAGAAAAACCTTCCAATCATCAAGATTAGTCAGCTGAATGGTCGTTATTCATCAATCAGTTTACTCATCCATTCGTCCATCACATTTTCCTACCCATTCTTTTTATCATTCTCTTCTTCTTCATCTGAACCAGGGGCCATACTACATCCATCCAAAAACGCTCAAGTTATTACTGGGTTATGACTGCTTAACTGCAGCAGCTGATTTCGTTGGTACGGAAGCGGAACGCCATAAGAAAAGCATAAACGCTGTAAAGTAGCCTTCGTTACGAGCTCAGTTATTGATATCGAATCATTTCACGGTTATGGAGGGTAACTAGTAAATAATTGATAAGTTATTAGCTAATTAGTTGCTGCTAATTACACCCATTTGGGCAATTACAGTATCCCAGTGGACCCCAAACGTCCAAGGTGTTTCACGATAAAGAAATCGAAAGTTCATGCAAAAACAAGGTAAACAAAGCTCAACAATGGTAAACATCTGGTGAGTAAAATTATTTTTATTTTTCCGAGAATAAAATGGCCAGAACCATTAGTCACCAGCGTAAAAGGCCTCGGCGTTATGTGTGAGAGGATTTTGATGAGATTTTGACAGATTTTTGTGAATTTGTTAGAAAAATCGGAAGAAAAGAGTCGATAAAAACGCACGAGTAAGTAGGTCAATAAGTAAACAAGAGAGTAAATAAACAAATATTCTCTGGGGAACAATGAGTGCACTATACCAGCTGTCACACGAAATATTGCCTGGGAGACGTGAATGGGTGTGCTGAGCAATCTAATCTGCTTTGGTTGCCGTGGTCGTCAGTTCATTAAGAAATACGGGAGACGTGAATGGGTGTGCTGAGCAATCTAATCTGCTTTGGTTGCCGTGGTCGTCAGTTCATTAAGAAATACGAGGCAAGAATCATAGCTGGGAATAGCAATTGCCAGTCATTTGCATATGCTCCTATTACGTCGTCGTCGTCTGTCTCCAAGCTCCAAGGCACACAGTCACAATTACCCCCCACTAGCCCCACCCAGAAGGCGTGTCGTCGTCGCCGTAGTCTCTAGGTGGTCTGACACCTGTCCTCAGCGCTAGTCACCCGGAAAATCTCGATGACCAATAGAGGAAGGACAAAGTATGTTGTCCTGAAGGGATGAGATAAGGACGAGGGTTGCGAGATGTTTGCAGCGGCCGCTGACAGCAGCACTGACTGGCCAATGCACTTCCGGCATCGAGAATTCAGGCTGTCCCAGCAAAAGATATTGCCGACCAGTTAACGAGTCCAAAGTCTTCCCCCTAATCGTTGACGCCAGCCAACCCCTCTCGGCTGAGATCATCGAAACTCTTGGAGCTTTAGTGACGTCCCCCTTTGATGCTTCCTTCTTCGGTTGTAAGAAGTGAATCGATGATTTCGGGGATGACAACGACGACAAGTCGTGTATTATTGGGCACTTCCGCAGAAGGCAAAGGACAGCAGTGAATAGACGAAATCAGGCCGGCCCCTCTAACAGGACATCGGTCGGACGACCTCCGACCGATGATGAGCACCAAAGCTACGCTACACACTCCGATTCCAAACGTCATCATTGACCTATAAAAGGAGAAGGAACTATGCAAAAGTGAAAAACACCTGCTGCTGCTGCTGTTGCGTGCACTAGCTGAGCAGCAGCTCAGAAATGGAAAAGAGCCCTGGGAATGGGGAGGACAGGGGGCTGGACGAACCACTCGCGAACGAATGTTCCGTTCCATTTGCGCATTAGAAAGGGAAGAAAGAATTTATGGCTTCCCCCACGTACTACTATCACGCAAAAGGGCACTTTAGATAGGCACTTTGGAGGGATCGTTAATAAGCTTGAAATGAAGGATGATGTCCTATGAAGGGACAAAGATCGGCTCGGAAGACGGCCTTTTTCAGACGGATTTGGTAGAAACTGAGGGGTCTTCTGCAACGCCACTCAGTGTTAAACTACTACAGAGCATACTAAAAAGCTTTGCCAAAATTTTTTTTGGTAAACGAGTTTCGCAACTGCGTCATTTATGACGTCAAGGGTAATAGTAGTAACCGAGCCAAAGAAAAACAAAGCCAAGCAACTGGTTCAGAAAATAAAATAACAGTTGGTAATCAATAGTAGGTCGCAATAAGTTTTGGTAATAAATCTGTGATAAAAGGGTCGATGCTAAATATTTTATAGCATCTGCAGGAATCGCAACTAATCGAACTAACTGTCTGAATATTTCTAGGCCCTCATGCTTCTCCTCAAAGCGTACGGTAAGAAGCAAAAACTTTCTTTTTAAAAAAGTCAGAAGGTTTAGTACTGTTCAAGTCTTACTGCCAGAAGTGGTGCCGCGCAGGAAAGGGATGAGTATCGAAGGACTATTATTCAAGGTGTCCTAACAGTTACCTGCAAGCTTATAAGAGCAACCAAACAATATCAAAATTCTGCGCGAAAGTTGAGTGCACGGCGCATACTAATAGCAACGAAAAAAGCGATTCCTTTATAGCAGGAGTGTTTCTATTAGAATTTTTAAATTTTAATAGCACAAAATAGTCAACTCGGCAAAACCCTTTTCTTTGCTCTCTGATTGTTTACTTTTCTTGTTATTTACTTTGTTTTTTTTCTAATGTAAACCCCTAGGTCGCGTTGCTATGTAAGTTTACCTAGAAGATTAATTCCTTGCCAGTTTATGGGTTAAAAAAGATCTCTAAAGTAGGGCTACATCGCATTTGTCTAATAGTATCAAGCTCGGGGCGTTACAGCTGAATCAGCTCGTGAAAAATGGAGCACTTCATCTTCAGAGCAGATAGGCGTATTAAACTATACGAACGGGTTTTTCAAGCCTACGGTCACCTAATCTGTCAAACATCAGGAGCAAATTTCTTAGAAGTCTTCGGAGCAAAGAAGAGTGTATGTCGGAAACAACCTGAAACCAGCCGGATGGTCCGGGGATCGTATCCTAGACTGATAAGCGCCTGGGTAACTGAACCTACTTCCCTCCCGTTTCGGTCATCTGGTACCAAATTCAAAGGGAAGGGTGAAAATATTGACTTATACACCAACTAGCAGCACAATCCTTTCAGGCTACATTACATTGTGAATTTCATTATATCAGAGATACTTATAAGTACATCAACTTGGCTCCAAGCCAAGTTCTATACAGGTACGACATGTTTAGATCCAAAGCCACCATGATCTTGAATAGAAGTCAAGTGAGGGCCCAGGACAGAGAGCCTCGACCTTTTATGGAGACAGCATCAGCCAGCGAATCGAGAGTTTCAACAGACTCAATAATATGTTTGGACTAAAGAATTTGGAATTCAACTAGCTGCTAAAAAGATAATGTCACTTTTACGATATAAAAATTTTATTTGCTAGTAAACAAACTAAATAATTAAAAAAATAATTAAAACTCTTTTTCCAATTTTTGATCACTTTGTTAATCAGAACTGAATCAAACTCTGTACCCTTCAAAATATTCCATTTAGATCAATCGACAAAAATGATCCAGAAAATGATCCAAATAGCGAACAACTGGTTCTGTAATTGTATTTCCATTGCAATGACTTTCCAATGATATACCGTTTACATAGTTAGGGTTACCTATGAATATTCATCATGGGGTTGTACAACATGTCCTATTTTCCTTTCAGAACGGATCAAAGTAAAGTCGTCAATCTTTGAAACACCATATGGAATTCGACCTCAAACATTTCTTAAAAGACAGTTTTAAATGAGAAATAGCTATTTTGAATAATAATTTCGAAAAATTTTGATTTTCGCAATTCTTACAAAAATTTTGAAGCAATTTTTGGAATAAGGCCGGATTGGGGCCTAAACATTGACAAAAAAGACTGTGCTAAAAAAGCGACAGGGTTTGCTGAGCAGCAGTACTAAAGGTAGGGAGGTTCAAAAATCACAAAATCTTATAAAACTAATTCCCTTTCAAAAAAAAAACAACGATAATAATGTAACAAGGCTGGAATCTCCTGCAGAAGGTCTCGGAGGAAGGTTCATTAAAGTTTGAGTATATCAGGACTATAGAACGGCTGTTTTAGGAAATCGAGCCCATAGTTCTTTCCCCGTCCACCAAGTCATTTCGTGAGTGATCTATTGAAAATGTTAAATGAAATGTTTTTAAATGCGTAAAATAACAAGATATCGCGAAAGAACGAGTCCAAATCAGCTTAAGACTGAAGTCTGCTAACAAATTGAGGGCAGAGGTTTCGGCAGTCACATCGCACTTTCTTTTTGAGCCCCGATTTTTTTCCTTTCCCAGAAAAAAACGTCGGACGCAAGAAAATTGAGCCAGAAAAAGAATTTGATTTATAGTGCAAGCTGTGAACAGGGGCAGCGAAAATAACGAGAATATCGCAAAGTTTTCTTTGTAGGATGGAATTTATGACCTCAGGATGGTTCAGGGACAAAGGTCGCCACATCCACTCGCAAATTACGCGACATCAATCCCGATGGAGTGAATTGACTCCAGATCTTTATGAGATAAACTGAACGAGTCCGAAGAAGTGAATTCAGTCTCAGACCTCTCCAAGATTACCTGAATAGTCGTCTTGTTTGGGGGGNAAGTGCTTCTTCGGAAAGTCCAGTGGGCACACTAGAAAGAATGGACAGCTGGCAAGCCGTATATGTACTCTTTCCAGGGCTCAAGAAAAACCCAAAGAGGAAGTTGGAAGGGGCCAACGAACTCTTTGCTGGGATGGATCACTCAAGTAACTTTTGTGGCTGGTTACAATGGTTGGAACTTCAAAGAGCAAGAAAGAAAAATACGAAAGCCACAGTGTGAAGTGTCTACCGAACAGCTGCTACACATGCAGAATTTTTCCTTCCGTTCGTATGCCAAAAGACTACCATAGCTATGCAAAGCCATCGATAGCAGGTGACCACAAGCAGATTTATTAGACCGTAATATTTTCAAAGATCTTACGGTATACGCTGTTATCCTCTTATCTGAAGGAAAGTACCGAGCGTTTGTTTAACAAATACATTAAATTTTTTAGAAGCTTCCAGCGGAACAACCGCCCCGACTACTACGGGTCCCTCGTAGAACATAAAATGATTCATCAGAGTTGATCGAAGGAAAAGAATGGAGCCAAAAAGATGGTTCAAAGTGATAACCCAGTCGATAGAACCAAAGAGCTCGAATATTCGAATAGAGAAATTAAAATAAAATAACAAATAATCAATAAAAATAGAATTAGCCGATTTAAAAGCTGCTGTAGAAGCCTCCAACTCCCAATTTGGATCATACAAGTAGTTCACATACTCTACCTTTGGTTTACCCTTGGCGGACTGGCTTTTGAGAGGCAAAAGGCATGGTGGAAGACGAAGTGATCGGTGGGGACTACTACTTCCTAGTAAGCTTCCCTTGAGTCTAACTCTACTGCTTTTCTCTGACCCGCTACGAGAAGAGCAATAGAGCCCGACAACCAAGCTTTTCATCATCTCCTGCATCCGATAGCTTTTCCCAATTCACCTGTGTTTAAGCAAAGGTCTCAGAAGAAATGAGAGAACAAATGGGACGAAAATTTTCCAGTCAACATCAAAGGCGAGAACGGAGCCACTTGATCTAAGGAAATGAAATATAACGTTGACAGGAGCGGTGCCCATTAGATTTGATCCATGGGCAGTTGTAGTGGCGCCATTCGCTGCTGCGCTTTCTTTGTACGATGAAAGAAAGCGAGCTGTAATAAGGCTATTCCGATCAAACTCTACTTTTTCATTTGCCCGATCAACTCATCAAAAGAGTTTTTACGGTAGATTCCATGATCTCTGATATTCCAGTACAATGCCAATGCAGTCGACTGGGTCAGCACCTTAGCCGGTCAAGGAACAGGGTCAAGTTGACCAAGTAAGCCACTAAAGAACTACCCACCTACTAGAATCATTTGATACCAGAAAAATTGTAAGTAGCATGTGGATTTAGAAGTTTTTCTGACTACAGTACTCCCTATAACTGTACAAATCCCGCTAGAAGTGAGTGCCTGATGGAAGTCCATGAAGCAACCTTCTGTAGTTAAAAAGAAGTGACAATTTGAGAATAGATTGGTTATGGTAGTAAAGAGGAAGAACCTAAACAATTTGACTTACTGCTTCGAACTGAAGTAACTAAGCAGTTGGCCCAAATCAGCTGCGGGAATGCCGAGTCAGGGACGCCTCTTCACTAAGTTTTTTGGTAATGGTAAAAATTGAGTGACAGAGACGGGACAGAAAAGCGTAATGCAACTTTTCCACTCAGGACATGCGGTTGAAAAACGTCAAGAATGATTATGTACACATAAAAGAAATGCTGTCCTCCGAGAGAACGTTGTAAGAACCACCCCGTTGAAGCCGATACGCTACGGACTCCGATGACAGATGTCAGACAAGCACGAAAAATCACGAGCAACACTTGAATAATGAGGAGAACGTTTGGTGGTGAAGGGAAGAAGGAAAAAGAGGAAAAACGGCTTCAAAAGTGGGGTAAATGTAAGAAAATAGGGGGACCAGGTGCGCTTAACGACTCATTTTGATGTCACCACAGTAAACTAATCAGTCTCAGGACTGGGCTTTGCGGGTCATGACCTCAAGTGAGGCTCGTTTGGTTGCTAACTAGGTTGAAAAGGATACGAGGCTTCGACATGGATGTGCGATACCACACAGACTTCTTGCCAGGTATTAGGGACTCGAACTCGTCTGTATGTCCCACTTTAACACCGGAGCTGTCAGGTACCGGACCTTCAGGAAAACTAGACTTTGTGAATAATGGTTTACAATTCTTTACAATTTTAATTTCTATGTGAAAACTGGTTTCATGGCGCATCATTTAGAAGTGTGCTCAATGCCTACGTTCAATCCATAGAATAGCTTCCTCGGTATTATTACTAGACATGTACGAGTACTACAGAGAAAAGTACTGAAACGAACGGAAGTAATTTGATTAGCCGGGCAAAGTATAGGTAGGGTAAATGGTTGTTTACTTCTTTGTTTATATCATACACTCAGAAGTGTGCCTAAGTCAGAGGACAGAAGTCTCCATCATAAAAAGGAAATGACTGAAAAACAGTTCCCATCTGAGAAAGTAGCCTGCTGAGGTGAATTCCTGACACTGAGGGTGCCTACTAGCTCGGAAAAGCTGATGCTATAATCACAGGGATCTCGAGCGGCTAGCTGGCTACTTTTCGGACAGGAGGGAAAGAAGGGAAAGCGGAGGGCTAAACAACTGAAACACTCAAAAAGGAAAAATGAGGTTAGGGGGAAGGGAATCCCGTCGTTATTAACAAAAAATATCACCGCTAACTGTCAACATTTTGAACAAAAAATAGTTGTAATAGTGTCCCCAGGCTATTTTGTGAGCAAATCAGTAATCATCATATTTATTGAGCAATAAAACATGAAAATCACTTGGGAATGAGAATCGCTATGACTAATAACACATTGTGGGGATGAATATACAGGTAGATTCAGAGTTCGGCGGAGAAAAACTTCCAGTCGAGTCATCGCTCAAAAAGCCAGAGGTGAACACCGTCGTTGTGATGATGATGAAGCTTTGGCACCGCCGAAGAGCGCAGCAAACCACTTACGTATTACACACCCACGATTACGAATAGACACCGTAAAGAGGGATTGGAATCAGAACTGGTACTCTGACACGTCTACATCGATGAGGGCTACATTGTAAGCAAGGATGGCTCCCGTCCGTGACTTGGTATGAATGTCCACCCGAAGTTTTATCTCTTTCGGGCCTTTCAGCGGACGTATCAACTTCACAATACCTGAAATGGTAAAATTAAAGTCGTTGTTTGAATATGGATAATCTTTGCGGTAGAAGAATTATGTCTGAGAAAAAGGGAGCTAGCTAGGGGCCGGTGGAGCAGTGCCTAATAAGCCGTTTTGCATGGGCAAGCTTTGGATTGAATCCCCGGAAGAGGTGTCGGTGAAGCAGTGCCTGATAAGCCGTATTGCATGCACGGACTTGAGATCGAGTTCTCGGGAGGAAAATGAATGGTTTCCAGATTCGTTAGGAATAGTATAGCCCGGGTAGTCGCTCGTAAATCTTATGCAGGAGTTGGAAGCCTTGTTCGTTTCCGAGTGAAATTGACCAGCACTGCGCGTATTCTCGACCCTGACAGTTGCACTGATTGTGAGTAATCCGATTCCGGTATCTATCAAAACTGGGTCAAACTAGCCAGTATCAACCTTAGCTCTATATAACCTAACTTTTATGGGTCCAATCCCAGAGGTACTGTAAGCTCGATGAGGTTACAAGCGAACTGCTTACTGTTTATAAGAGAAACAGACAAACAATCGTCATCAAAGTGACCCGAATCTGATTTAGCTCCTGTATAATCCGACATAACTGGGAACTCTCCCAAATCACCTCATCAGACTGAAGATCATCTGTCGTCTTCAGTACGGATACGGAGATGTACGCACCCTCGTTCGGCAATGCCGAGGCGGAAATGGAGCCCCGTCATTACTCTTCTTCCACTCTTCCCTTTGCAATAAATTGCGAGAAAGAATTGCAACAAAGGTGGAAAAAAAATAGTTGCAACATCTGAGTTTTTTTCCGGAAAAATTCGGATAATTCATCGATCAGAGCTCTTTTTTATGTGCCTTCTGTCTCTGGCAACTGTTCACGCTAGTTCAGAGATTTGGAGCTCGAATTTCTTATCAAATAAAGGGGCCTTTCCATTTCTGCCAAAAACCTGGACAGAATCACAGTACAGCCGTTGAAGGCATGTCTAAATTTATCATGGATTTCTCCCACACCCCAACAAATGGCTAGAGCTCAAAGGATGATGAAAAGTCACGATAACTGGGCGAACCTACAGAAACTGCAACTGCTGCAGGCTTCTACTCTTCTAAAAGTTTCGTTTTACTTTTGTTATATTTTGATGATTACTCGTTGCCATTTCTACGATAATGCAATCCTACCGTAATTCTGTCTCCCGGTTTTGTCCTCTACAGAGGTGCTGTTTTCATGACTTGAACAAAACTTTGACAATATGTATATGGTCATTGGGCACATGTTTGGCTACCGTATTCCTATTAGACTTTATTCCTGAATTCAAAATATGATTCTTGAATCTCCTACAATGATGTCAGTGCGTAAAAATGCCAAGATGCCACTCTTGCTCTATGGATATGACCGGAATAGGCCCCCAAATAAATTGATGATTCGATGAATTTTTGAACACTGATTGTTCCTAATCCATCTACCCAATATGGCATTTTTCGAGAGCGTTTGAATTGGAAGGTTCGTTTTCCGAAAGATTAGCATAATCTTCAGCGCTAAGGCATTCTCGTAATAGAGTGGACGTGAAAATTGAATTGGCCGACGGACATTTTCTACACCGTTTGCTTTACGAAATACGATGCAGTAGAATGGCAATGAACTCGAGGGGAAGCTCTTTGATGATTCAAAGATAACGAAATGAGAAAGTTTCTTTCGAGCTAATTTCTGACTGATCACACAACTAATTCAACCGGTATTCGAAGAAAATGAGGTGTAGGAATACAGAATTCAAGTCAAATTTACATTTCAAAAGTTTGGCCAATGTATGCACCTTAAACAATCTATCTACTTCTACATAGCTCAGTTGACATCACAATCTGGAAAAAAATTTCCAATTTTTTCCGTGAAGCTTCTAAATCGAATGTCATCAATCAAATGGCCCAAATGTGCGGTACTGTCTACTTTTTGCCAATTTCTGTGAGCATTCAAATGACATCAGCCAGCCACCTGCACTTCCGCTGGACCTGCTCTGCCGGCTGTCAAGTCTTGGTTATTCATTTTATTCAAAAGTTTGTCCCACTTAGGACCTACTGAAAAGCTGGTAATAACTTCTATTCATCATAGTTAAATTCCTATACGATACAATTAATTACAACATAATCATAATTTTTTGGATTTAATCATGATTTTGAACAGATATAAAGGGTTTTTTCCCTTCAAAACATAAATTCGAATAACTTTTATACACCTTTTAACGCTATTACAGCTCTGAATGGTACCATTACACTCGAAAAGTCAAAGATATGCCCGAAAAAGACGATTTCAGGCATGGACCGTTTCCTTCCGAGATTTTCCTTGAGCTCTGTCTCCCAGCAGTTCCCACAGACCCAACCTTCTTCACATAATTTCATGCAAGACAAAGGAAACGCAAATTTTCATTTTCCCATACAAATGTAGCAATTGTGGTCCCTGCACGATTAGAAGGCTTGGTTGGCCTACGAGGATAACCACCTCGGACATGATTTATGCACAATTTTTATGGTCGTGGAAGTGGGATAACGGCGCCAGTTGACGCTGTCCCTTCTGCGCTTCGTATACAGAATGTGGTAATGATTAGGGACAACTTTGT